TTTTTTTTTTTTTTCGGTTATTTTTTGGTCTCAATAAAATTTTAGATTTATAATCCTGATTTTTTAAAAAAAAAAAATTTTTTTTTTAATCCTTTTTTTAATCTTTCCCTTCCTCCCTTTTCCTCCAGTGCTGATTCACCAGGTAGAGCAGGACACGGAGGGAAGGTGAGCCCTGAGCTGGGCGAGAGCTTTGGAGAAAGGTCTGGAGAAGGTTCCGGAGCGGGTTCTCGAGCAGGTTCCGGAGCAGGGTCTGGAGAAGGTTCTGGAGCGGGTTCTCGAGAAGGTTCTTGCTTTGGAGAAGGTTCTGGAGAAGGTTCCGACTCTGGAGAGGGTTCCGACTCTGGAGAAGGTTCTGGGGAAGGTTCCAACTCTGGAGAAGGTTCTTGCTTTGGAGAGGGTTCTTGCTTTGAAGAAGCTTCTGGGGAAGGTTCTGACTCTGGAGAAGGTTCTGACTTTGGAGAAGGTTCTGGGGAAGGTTCTGACTCTGGAGAAGGTTCTGACTTTGGAGAGGGTTCTTGCTTTGAAGAAGCTTCTGGGGAAGGTTCTGACTCTGGAGAAGGTTCTGGCTTTGGAGAAGGTTCTTGCTTTAGAACAGGTTCTGGAGAATGTTCCAGAGCAGGGTCTGGAGATGGTTCTTGCTTTGGAGCAGGACCTGGAGAAGGTTCTGGCTCTGGAGAAGGTTCCAGAGCAGGCTCTAGGTTTCTTTTGGCCTCCAGCCGGGCCGGGAGCCTGAGGCACTGCGGCTCCGTCAGTGAGCGGGGCCACCTCGGCCTGGAGGAGCAGCAGGAGGAGGAGGAGGAAGGCTCCTGGTGGAGGAGAGCGGTTCTTGGATGAGGATGGTGGCTCCCGGAGGAGGCGGAAGGTTCTTTGAGGAGGGTTCCTGGAGGAGGAAGAGGAGGAGGAAAGCTCCTGGAGGAAGATGATGGCTCCAGGAGGAAGAGGATGGAGGACTGAGCTTCCTCAGAGTCCACAGGCCCCAGGCTCAGGTGGATTTGGGCACAGGGAAGGAGCAGAGAGAGATCCTGGGAGGAGCAGTGGATCCTGGGAAGAGCAGAGATCCCAGGGGGAGCAGAGATCCCTGCAGTGGATCCCGGGAAGAGCAGCAGATCCCTGCAGTGGATCCCGGGAAGAGCAGCAGATCCCTGCAGTGGATCCCAGGAAGAGCAGAGATCCCTGCAGTGGATCCCGGGAAGAGCAGCAGATCCCTGCAGTGGATCCCGGGAAGAGCAACAGATCCCTGCAGTGGATCCCTTCCCCGCAAGCTCCCTGCACGGTCCCAGGGAATCCTTGTGGGATTTTCTCCCATCCCAAGCCAGGCCCTAAGGAATGTCTGGAGTCATCACCCAGGAGGAGAGCAGGAAGCACCTTGGATCCCGTGTGGATCCCGTGTGGATTTATTGTGGATCCAGTGTGGATCTAATGCAGATCCTGTGTGGATCTAATGTGGATCCAGTGCAGATTCATTGTGGATTTATTGCAGACCCAGTGTGGATTCATTGTGGATTCATTGTGCATCCAGTGTGGATTCATTGTGCTTCCGGTGTGGATTCAAATGTGGATCCAGTGCAGATTCATTGTGGATTTATTGCAGACCCAGTGTGGATTCATTGTGGATCCAGTGTGGATTTATTGTGGATCCGGTGTAGATTCATTGTGGATCCAGTGTGGATTCATTGTGGATCCAGTATGGATTCATTGTGGATCCGGTGTGGATTCATTGTGGATCCGGTGTGGATTCATTCCGGATCCAACTCCCCACATCCCCTTGGCTGAGCTCGGATCCAGATCCGGGAATGAGAAGGGATTTGTGCCCCGGGAGCGCCGGGGCCGGGCTGGGATTTGGGTTGGATTTTCCAGCTGGGGGAGGCGGGGCTGGAATCCCTGGAGAAAGGACAAAGCCATGGAAATAACCAGGACGGGATCCACCAGATCCCATCCCGGCCTCCCCTGCCATTCCAGTTTGCCATTCCCGATCATCCAGGGACCCCCGGACGGGCTCGGAGCTCCTTTCCCGGGAAAATCCGGGTGGGATTTGGGCGCTGGAAACGCTCCAAGGATGTGGTGACGGATTTATCCCGCGGGGATGGGGCAGGATTTGGGATGTTCCACCCTTGGGACGGAATCGGCTCCGGAGGAAGAGCTGGCCATTCCCAGCAGGAAAACTTCCAGTCAGAATTCCAAAGAGAAGGATCTGGGAGCAGCACAGGGGGCTCGGCCCTGGGACCCCTCAGGAATTCCCTCAGGAACTCGCTTCTCCTTGGATTTGAGAAGGAAAAAAGCCAGAGCTGGTTGTTCCCATGGAAGAGTTTTTGCTTCTCCTCCTTTTCCTTCTCCTTTTTCTTCTCCTTTCTTCATTTCTCTTTTTCTTCTTCCTTTCTCCTTCTCCTTTTTCTTCTCCTTTCTTCATTTCTCTTTTTCTTCTTCCTTTCCTTCTCTTTTTCCTTCTCCTTTTCCTTCTTCTTTTCTTCTTTTCCTTTTAATTTTCCTTTTTCTTCTTTATCTTTTCCTTTTCCTTCTTCTTTTTCTTTTTCTTTTCTCCATTTAATTCTCCTTTTCCTTCTTCTTTTCCCCTTTTCCTTCTCCTTTTCCCCTTTTCCTTCTCCTTTTCCCCTTTTCCTTCTTCTTTTCCCCTTTTCCTTCTTCTTTTCCCCTTTTGCTTCTTCTTTTTCCCTTTTCCTTCTCCTTTTCTCCTCCTCCATCGAACAACTCCCACCCATCCAAGCTGGATCTGGAGCCTCCAAAAACCCCTCAATTCCCACAATTTCACTCCAAACCCCCCTGGAATCCCAAATAAAAGCGCCGGGAGCCGAGGCTGGTACAGTGAATAAGCCGTTTTTTATTTTCTGTCCTGTGCTCACAACAATCTCTCTTCTCTCCCTGACAGGTCACAGATCATTCCAAAAAAAAAAAAAAAAAA